GGGGGGGGGGGTTGCCCAGGCAACGGGATGCGGCCTTGCTTAGGCGCCAGGCCTGGGGCCCAGCTGAGCCCTGTGCCCCAGTCTGCAGTCCCCACCTCCCCCCTCAGCAGCAGCCCCAGCTGTGGGCTGCAGACAGAGCATATCCAGCGGCTCAAATAAAGAAAACAAAGAAGTGGGCATTTTCATCCTAATACGACAAAACAGACATAGGATTTGTATGGGGGTCCTCAAGTTTCTGCAGTAATTTCAAATTTCATGAAAATCCCCTTCCTCCAGGAATCATGTTTTATCATGTGGGAGCTTGGAGAACAGACCCCGCTCCGCGTGTCCTAATGCGGCGCCGCTCCACACGCTCCTGCTGACCTTCCCATTGTCGCGCTCCCTGCGCGAGCCCCAGGATGTCCTGCTCCACCGCTGCATGCCCCTCGCCAAGCAGGCGATCTCCGAGAACACGGTGCTGGCAGGGAGATCCATCGCCCAGTCCCTCGTCTGTCGTGTCTCGGGGCAGAGTTTCCCTGGGCGGCGTCGATGGGCTCCTCGCACGCGTTTGAGGGCCGGCGTCCTGCCTTGGTGGGGAGGCTCATTTTGAACCTATCACCCTTGTGTCTTGAGTTATTTTCCATAATCGCTTGATGTGCATTGAGCCCCCTCCCCCATATTAAGGTCTTGCACTTGACTGGGTCATGTTCCCATCATCAAATCGCCCCTTCTCTCAGACTCGACAACAGGGAGGTTGAAATATTCGCTCCTAATAGGGACTTTTTCAGCTTATTTTTTTATTAGGTACATCACAGCGGTTGCACTGAATAAGTCCTGGCTGGTGTTGCAGAAGTGAGTGAGTTATAAAAGGAGAGATTTTTTCTTGATAGGGCCTTTAAATGACATTGCATTTTAACAAGGGGCTGACAAGCCAGAAATGTAATGCTGCACAGATAGCCCTGCCAAAAAAACAAGTTTCAAAAGGGCTTGGGGCCACCTAAGCTTCCATAAACTTGGAGGTTTTACGGTGCCGAACCACGATCAGAGCCGTTCCCTTGATCTCTTGCTGCATTGGTAAATCATTTATTGGTGCGGCCTTTTTACCAAGTCCCTTAGGAAAAGGGCTATAAAAATGCATTGATAACAAATTACAGCCATCCCACTCACAGTCTGCAAACTCCACTGACTACAGTATTTGGCGTATGCAATTTTTGCTGCTATTTTCCCCTACAAAAATGAATATAGACTGGGACTCAACGCCAATGCACAGAATTCAAGCCAGGCTGATCATTTTTGTAACAGGCACCGTTTACTTCTCATTGGAGCCCTGTGAGAATAATGGAGGGGTGAGGAGGAAGTGCTATAATCACGCTTCTTGATGTACGAGTACAAATACAGATGTGACAGGCTAGCTGGCAGTGACTTAGCCCAGGGGTTTTGAAGGGGCAAAAGATGATTGGAGGACTTGGGATTTCATTTCCGCACCAGTCAGGCCCCAGAGACTCACCCCCCTGTGTCCCAATTGGCCCCTTGGGTCACCTGGAGGGGTATAAAAGGGGCAGCATGGGCTGACTCAGGGGAGAGAGACCAGTGAGGGATAACAAGGAAGGAGCTTTATACAGCTGAGTCAGCGGGGCAGGAGCAGTGCCCCAGAAGAGCCTGGAAGAGCAGGATGTGCAGGCAGCAGTGGGACCCACTGCAGTGCAGCCGGCAGGAGAAGCTTCCCCGCTGGGCTCCAGGATCCCCTACGAGAGGCTGCTGCCAGCAGGAGAGACTCCCCCGCTCCAGCAAGGATCTGAACAGCAACCTGAGAGGTTCCCAGCTCTGCTTCCAGCTCCTGCAATCAGAGGCCAGGCAGCTTGACATAAGGCCAGGCTCGGAAAACATCAAGACCCCTCACAAGTTAAAGTAGTGCTACTAGTGGTGGTTGTGTGGTAGTGTTCATGCATACCCCGTTGGAGATCTGGGTTCAAATCCTAGCTCAGATGACTTGTAGAGAGTGAGATAACAAAAAGCAGATCTTGCAGTGGGAAGGGGCTACTGTGTTTTTCCCCCTCCAGGTACTAAGGCCCTGTATTTCCTTGGCATTTTGCATTTTGTGCCTTTTTTTTTTTTTATTTTACCAACCCATATTGTTTGTTCTGCTGTTTGTGTTTTATATTTTGTTGACCCTGTCTTCTGTCAATGATTGTAAGTGTCTAACCTTTGTTAAACCTGCCCCCTTGGGGCATTGTAGTGTCTACTATACCCTCTGATTTATGCCTGTTATTTTCCCAGTATTAAAAGGTATATGATTAAGTCTCCACTGGTGGCCTGGCTCTGCTCTATAGGGGAGGAGAGTCCCTATACCTCCCACAGTGCTTGTGAACCTGCTTTGATCCCTTCAATTGGTACTCTTGGAGTACCGCTCGGGTTACACATAAAACCCACATGCAACATTAGAGAAATGAAACCATGAGGCTTACAGTAAGACAAAAATCACATGATTGCCTTGATTTGCCGCCTGCTGCTTCGGTGTTCTGTTCTGGAGGAAATGCTTCTTAATAAGTAATTACGTTTACTAATCCAGTCATGCTCCACACACTCTTACACTGCTTCTCTTCCAAGGATTTCAGTAGTCTGCAGGCATTGATACTGCTTGTTCTTGGTAGATGACAGACATTTATTGATCTATTGTTTTCAAGATGAGCGAGGCAAGCCCACTGGGCTTTATGGTGGAAGCAAGTCCTTTGCATAAGCAATCAAAGAATGAGAACCTTGTCTGCCTCTGTTTAAGCTGACATATGTATCACAAGGCATAAACAGAATTAATTGCTCATTCATCCCATCCACATACATGCTAGCATTTGTGTGTTTGAGCAATGTCCAATCTGTATGGTGGTTAAACAGCATTCCCATGCTGTGGCTCTTTAACAAGAGGGCAGAGAACTCCATTGCTTTCATGTTAGATTGGGATTAGCAATAGCAGGAGAATGAGCAAGGTCTTGCCTCTACAAAAGGGCAGTCTAAAAAGTTGACACGACTCCTGCTGAAGGGGTGAAGCTAAATTACACCAAATCCCCGTGTGGATGTTCCCATTCAGGAGTAAAGTGGATTTAGTTCACAGATAGGTGACACAATCCAAGGGATTTCGTGCCAGCTAATAAAAAGTGTCAGACTATCCCACCCCATCACTGGGAAAGAAGGATAGCTGCACGGTCAAAGCACATATTCAGATCTAATATAGAGTCTACCACGGATTTTCTTGTGACTTTCATAGTGTTGCTAAACCTGTCTTATTATCAGGTAACAAGCACATGTACAAGTTACAACAAGAGAGGGCATACATTTACAACACTTGCTTGCCTTGTGCACCCTCCTATCCTCTGGTAAAGACAGGGAGTTCACCACACTTTCATGATGAAGACAGCTATGCTGCATTTGCGACAGGATAAGAACATGTGGATGGACAGCTATGTGGAGTATCTGACAGCCTGTGATTTCACGCTCTCTTACCTTTCAGTAGCTAGTCTTTAGATCCATATCCTCAGCAAAAAGAGGGCAATGTTCTTCCTTCGTCTGTTTAGCCTACAAGCCTTTTGGGGCAAGGAATCACTTAGTATTTGTGAGCATCTAACACAACAAAACCCCAGTTCTGCAGAAGATCCGTTTGCTACTATTATCTACATGTGAATTCAGAGGCAGGTGAGAGATCAACTCAATAACACGCTGGTTGCTTTGGGCTAACCGATTTTAAAAACTGCCTGTCCTTCCTTCACCTACCTCCCAGAAGCCATTTCTTTTATTAACAATGCTTTCATTTTGCTGTTTTCATAACTGTTCTGTAATTGTTTCATAATGTTTCAGGCATTGTGCCTGATAGTTGAACAAGAGACTTGTTTGCAAAGTTTTTTTTTTTTAAATAGGTTAGACAGTTTCTTGCCTGGGATGGGTTAAACAGGGATGATCCTGCCTTAAGCAGGGAGCTAGAGTAGATGTGGCTGCCAGAGGTCCCTTCCAGCCCTACTGTTCTGTAATTCTAGTTCTCCAAGGGCCGCAAAGACCATACCCAGTTTGCTTGCAACGAAGATGATGGCATCCCCTTTCATTGCCTTATTAATGGAGAGGCATGCTGGGAGCACAAAGGACACAGATCTGAATTCACAGCATTCCCAGGTATTCCAGGTAGCCCAGCTGAAGTTTGAGCATTGCATGCTGAGACTGAAGACTCTGGAGATTGCACCTCTGTTTCAAAGGCTGAAGATGCATATATCAGTTAAACCATTCCCAGATGTCACTGATTGTGAACCAGTTCACAAATGCCATGGGTCAGAGGTGTCCACACCTACAGTGTCCTAGTGCTCCAGAGAGAATGGTCACCCTTTAGGTGTTGAAGTGCTGAGCCCCCAACACTAGGTGGGAAGGGGCAGCCAGCCCAACACATCTTGCATAAGGAAGTGGGGGGAGTACTTGCACCCACGCTTTGCGGACCCAAGGGTTTGGGTGACTTTTCTGCTTTCCCTTCTCTCCTAAACACAAGTTCAGTAAACTTCAGTAGCCTGCACTTGACCAAAATCTGCAGTGTGCTTTGCTGACTTGGGGGGCTTGAGGGAATGCTTGGAGCAACTTTTTGGGGCTGTGGGGCAGGATTTTCATAGATTTCATAGACATTAGGGCTGGAAGGGACCTCGGAAGATCATCAAGTCCAGCCCCCCGCCCAAAGGGCAGGAAGTCAGCTTGGGTCATAGCATCCCACCAAGATAAGCATCCAGTTTGCTCCTGAAGGTGTTCAATGTAGGTGCTTGAACCACCTCCGATGGCAGGCTATTTCAGACCCTGGGGTCTCGGACAGTAAAGAAATTCTTCCTTATGTCC